GAGAGAGGTTTAGGGGAGAGAGGCATGAGGAGAGACAATTTGCAGGGAGAGGTGTATGTAAGAGAGGTTTAGGGGAGAGAGGGCATTAGAGAGACAGTTTGCATGGAGAGAGGGTGTATGAGAGAGAGAGAGAGAGGTAGGTTTAGGGGAGAGAGGATGTGAGAGAGAGTTTGCAGGGAGAGGTTGTATATGAGAGAGAGATGAGACGAGACGAGATGGAAAAAAGAGGGTGGGTGTGTTTGGCATTAACTAGCTTGTTTAGGACGGTAGAAGGTTGTGGTTAAAAGGGTTTAGGAGGTCAGAAGAATGTTTTTGGAATGTTTGATGCCACTAGATATTTCTCACACTTGAGGGAGACTGGGATATTGTTCACCAAATTAGGGTGTACGGAGATACTTTCCCTTAAAAAATTACCAACTTATCCTTGGTCACGAATCCGCTTGCCTCAACGTAGCCTTAGTCATGAATCTGCTTGCCTTGTTGATCAGGGAAGAATAAAATTAAGAAGAAGATCTAATTCTCCTTAAAAGTGTATCACAATGGGAATTGAGCATAGAATGATCATTGAGATATGCCATTCATAGTGCTTTGCTCTATTATGCTCTTAGGCTTTCAGTTGCCTTGCAAGTCAATAAGGAACCTAGAGTTTTGGAGCTCATGTCTTGGACATCTTTCTAGTTCCATACTAGTTTTGCCACTTCTTCAGTAGTTTCTTTCATAAGTGTATAAGTTATACAGTCGTTCATGCCTTTGTTTTCTAATGATAAAGAGCCATCTCATGGGCTGTTTTTGTATTACATTGGAGTTGACAATTGTGATATCGATCTCTGGGTCTGTATCTTCTATGAGCTTCCTTGATGATCAATTTATGGCCGTACGAGATATATCGTACAAAGGCCAAAGATAGGGTGTACATAAAACTTTGAGCAGTTCTAGAACATGATTCATTGGAAGTCTAGTGCCAAGGTCAAGTAGTCGTTTGAGTTTATTTAGAAATTCAAGGGTCTTGGACCTCTTGTAATCCTTTCACATCTAGCAAAACGAAACAATCTGACATCTCCTTGAAATCATTAGAGCACTCTTTATTGTGATGATTTAGGGAAGGTTGACTAGGCAGATTCTTAGCTGCTTGTTAGCTTCTCCATTGCATACCTTATTTTCCTCTAAATGGTTTTTTGTCATCAATTGTGTTGAATGTTGAAGCATTATTCAATTTCATGTTCTCACATATTCATAAATGGTTATGTTCTTAAGATGATTAACATGTTTGTAAACATGATCTAAAGGCAATTAAGTTTTCTTCTTTGAGGATTTTCCTCTATCAAAATAGTAACACGTGTTAAAGCCTGAAATCCACAAAAAAAGGGCTTGAAATCCATGAAATATTAGGGCTATGTTGGATCTAAAATTAGAAAAGCCCATTGTTCAAAAAACTTGAGATTTTCCCCCGTACCCTTACGAGTTGTTTGAATGTTTTAAAAGTTCCTTTTTTTCTCCTCTCCAATATCCCTCCCCAGCACATCAAAACCCTTGCCTGCTTCCACAAAACTTCCTCTCTAAAACCACAACAAGAACCTTACCAAATTCCCAAAAAACCTCCCACCCCAAAATCGCAAAAATCAACTAAATCATGGAGACACTCTTTTTTTTGGAGCCCACTTGAAATTTGAGATGACTATCCATGAAACCTCCGTGTAACTTGTCTTGATCTTATGGTTTTTCTCTCTCAGAAACAGATAAAGAACTTTAAAAGTGAAAGATTACGGTGGCCAAAAAACCAGGTGGGAAGCCCTGTTTAACTTGTCTTGGTATTATGTTTTTTCTGTTTCAGGCCTTGCATCGAACACTTGGAGGCCATATTCTTCTTTTTCATCTTCTTGATGTATAGAGGGAGACAATGATCTCATCAGACATGAGAAGTCTTAATAAGCTTTGAATGGAAACCTCAGTGCATTGCATG